TTCCACACCAGAACATTCCTCACCTTCCAGAATGATCATTCCCAACCTTCCACACCAGATCATTCCTCACCTTCCACACCAGAACATTCCTCACCTTCCAGAAGGATCATTCCCAACCTCCCACACTGGACCGACCCTTCCTCACCTTCCCACCCAACCCCTTTCCCACAGACTCCAAAAACGGAGCGATCCACGGCACGGCAGGACAACGCTGCCCGTCAACACTCCAGAAGCAAACATGGAATTCGCCGTCACGTCCCATGCAAGAATTCCGGGTTTAATTCCTCCCATTTTGAGGCTGGAATCAACCCCACACCGACCTCCACCGGATTTTGTTCCCTGCCACATGACAATTCCTCCTCCTACTCCGCGCTGTTGATTTTGGCATCCCAGCCAGCCCGGTGGCTGCACGGCACGGATCGCGTTCCCGTCGCCATCGGGAGGAGACGCGCCGTATCCACGATAAAACTTGGATACAAGGAGCTCCCGGCTGCTCCACACTTCTCCTTCCTTCAGAACACCCCCAAATTTTAAGTTCTTCCACGGAGGGATTGCGTTGTATTTTTCCTCAAGGAAAACCGGATGGATATCCGTGGACAGGAGTCGCTTTCCCACCAGACAGGGAAATGGATGCTCAGCAACGATTTGGAATGGGATCATTCCATGATTCCATGAATTGCAGCTGAGACCGAACCCTCCGATCTCCACTTTGAGGGATCCTCATCCAGCGCCTCAAACCACCCACGGAACTCCCAAGTTCTTCCCAAGGAATCCTGCCGAAACCCAACGGGAAATTTTATCATCCCCTCCCAATCTGACACAACCGGGGCCCGTTTTGCTCCAGCGGAAGGAAGGTCACGGGATATCCTTGCCACAACTTCTCTCTTCCCTGAGTTTTTTTTTCCCAAATTCCACACCCCTCAATTTTCCCTCCAGCCTCTTGTTCACGACTCACAGCAGCCAAAAAACCCTGTGCTAAAACTGGCAGGAATTAATGCAGCTTTTGGTTTTGTTTTCTTTCTTTTTTTTCCCCCGCCCCCCATGGATTAACAGCTACCAATAGTCTCCCGGCGTGAGGGTTAATTCCCACCGGGATACGGCGGAGCTGGATCAACAATCCAACACCTGAAAGACGCAGCAAGGTACCGGCGGCACAAAGGAGATGCAAATAAATTTGCATATCCCAGCATCAAAGACTCCACGAGATCCCGGAGTACGAAAACATCTTTTCCCTGCGAGATACCGAAGGAATGGCAGCAGGAGTGATGGGAGTGGGAGGACAGGAGAATGGGGGGGGAAAAGAGGAGAAAAAATAAAGAAAAAAGGCAAAAAAGTGTGACTGTAGCAGGAGCTCGACAGTTGGAGAAATTCCAAGGGAACGGCAGAGCTTGGGCATGAGGAAAACAGTTGGGAAGGTGCTGACGGGATGTTGGAGCCAGCTGGGGGGTTGGGATCTGCTCCCAGGGAACGAGGATGGGAGGACACGGCCTCGAGCTGTGCCAGGGGAGGTTTAGGTTGGATTTTGGGGAATATTTTTAGGCTGTCCAGCTGTGGCACAGAGGTGGAATCGCCATCCCCCCGGAGGGATTCCACACCCCTGTGGATGTGGCCTTGGCGGTGCCGAAGGAATCGGTTGGATTCCTTGAGCGTGGAAATCTTTCCCAACCCCAACAACTCCTTCATCCTAAGTGAGATATTCAAACACCTGATACGAGACAATTCCAACAGGCAACGACCAAAAAAACGATGGGAGGAGGAGGAAACTCAAAGGTTGATCCCAAGGGAAAAGCACAGAAGCCCCGGAACAGAAAAATTAGGAGCAACTCCGTGAAACACCCGAGGATGGAGTTTGCACATCCCCGCGGCTCCACCGGATTCCAGGAGCTCCGTGAAAAGCAGCCAGAAGGGAAATTTTTGTGCTTCTGCGGCTTTCCCACAGAATTCCGAGTCCCTCCTCGCGGGGATGAAGGAGTTTCTGCCGGAGCCGCCAAGGAGGACGCGGAAGGTGTGAAAAAAGCAGGCGAGGAGAAATGGAGCAGAAGGAAAACGTGAGAACTAAAGGCAGGAGGGGGCAAATTCCCCAGCAAATCCCACGAGGCTTCTCAAGAAATTTCCCAGACCTCCCAGGCCTGTAAAAAATTTTGGGATAGCCGGGAAAATCCTGGTTTAGCAGGCCTGTATTCCACAGGCAGGAGAAGAACCAAGGCGTGAGTAGAACGCTCTGGTTGAAGGCCTTGGGAGGGAAAAGATGAGGAGAAGACAAAAACCCTTTCCAAACTTCCCCACCCCAAAAAAATAAGGCAGGATGAGGTTTTTGGGGAGATGGAGCCCAGGAATGACGAGGAGTTGGAGAAAATGGAATAATTGGTTGGGATTTTTAATGTCTTGCTGGAGGACGTGGCCGAGCCAGAGATAAATACCACGGGATGGTTTGGGTGGGAAGGAACCTTTGGGATCATCCAGTCCCACCCCCTGCCGTGGGCATGGAAGTCTCTCCCAGATTCCCAGAATCTTATCCCATGGGATAGGGGAATCTTCCTCCATCCCAGGTTGCTCCAACTTAGCCTTGGACATTTCTAGGAACGGGGTGGCCACAGATTCTCCTGGAATTGCATCCCAGGCCTCGCCACCCTCACAGCCAGAAATTCCTTCCCGGCATCCCATCTATCCTTGCTGCCGTGTCATTCCCAGTGTCCTGTCCCTCCATTCCTATTCCAAATTCCCTCTCCAGCTCTCCTGGAGTCCCTTCCGGCACTGGAAAGAGCTCTGTG